AGAGAAATATTATTTTCATTAGAAATTAAGAGCTATGCAAACATTGGAATGTTAAATGAAGTTTAAATAATTGAATTTATTTATGCTTACTAATTCTTTTCAGTTTTGCTTAATATGATGTCACCAAGCATATGGGGGTTGAATCCATTTAAGTGATTTATCTTCTGTCCTTCTTGAAGCTGTTTTCACAGTTAGAAAAAGGCCAACGTTTTCAAAATAGATATACTAGCAGGTCAGCAGAGGTGTCTGAGGCAGAATACATGTTTATTAACTATTGTGTAGTTTATGCAGTTTGAGGATGGCTTTTTACTGTGGGTAACTCATGTTCAAAGCAGAAAACTTCCTGTTCTTAGCTGTTTCACTGTAGGTTCTGCTAGAGCTCTGAGGGGCTGCTTGCACTACCCCTGCTTCCTCCCTGTAAATGTGTCTGTACATTGCAGGCTGCTATGGTTCCCTGCAGAATGTTTGTCAGAATTATTGTATCCTATCATAGAATGGCTTGGGTTGGAAAGGACCTTAAAGATTATCGAGCTCTAATCACCCTGCCATGAGCAGAGCCGCCCCCCACTAGGTCAGGTTGCCCAGGGCCTCATCCAACCTGGCCTTGAGCACCTCCAAAGATGGAACAGTGCACTACAAACTGCACACACAACATGCTTATTTGTTTTGTGGCATCTGCATGAAAGTTAGAGAAATGGCACAGTCAAATTTTAGTATTTTTGTCCTGTGCAGAATGGGATTCTGTTTTATTTTGGTGTAATCACCGCAGCAAAGGGGAGTGGAAAGTTGCTGGTGCTGAGACCTATCTGTGTCAGGCTGGAATATAGGCCAGCTCCAGCTACTCTGAGTAGTGGCAGTTTTGTGTAACATCTCACTGTAGTCAGTGCAGGCAGATTGCTGCTTTGATTTGCTTTTCACTTTTCCTTCCGAGCACCACGCTCAGCAAGCAAGCAAACACCGAAACCAAAGGGTGCTTGTAAGCCCCGCGGGTCAGCCAGGCAAGTTTGCGAGCTGAGCACGCTAGCGCTTATGAAGCAGCTCCCAGCTCTTCCAGGGCTCCCTGCCACTGACAGCACAGCCTGTAGTGTGGCCATGGAGCCCTGCTGCACATCTCCCATTCTCCCTGCCCCTCGCCTTGGGCCCAGGAGCAGGGCATTGCTGCGAGGCGGCAGCGGAGACGCTCACATGACTGATGCTGGGAGAGAGAGCAGAGTGGTGGTTTTTTTTTTCTCCTCTTTTTTTTTTTCTCTCTCTCTGTGTGTGTGTGTGTGTGTGTGAGCGGCTCCAGTCTATGCACAGTTGGCTCCCAGCTGACAGACAGGATGTGGGGTGGGCTTTGTCACCAGCGCGCCGGGCGCTGCGTGCCCGCTATGCTGGCAATTACACAGTGCCCAGAAACCTGCTGCTCATGTCAGGGTGCAGGCAGCCTCAACACATAGAAATTGGGTAGCTGTATTTTTTTTTTTTCTCTTTTCTATTTTTTTTTTCCCTCTTTCTTCCCAGAAAAGGTTATATAATGAGGGGATTGCTGCTAAAGTAAAAGGGAAAATGAAGTCTTTGTTAAATGCCTTCACAAAGAAAGAAGGTAAGCGATGCAAGCAGAACACTTCAATGTTTCAGACCGGTGTTTTCTTGTGTACATTTAATATGTTCGGCTTAGTGACTTTATGATTAATCAGTTCATGTAGTTTTGTTTCCAAAATTATTTTATGCTAGACCATCCATTTAGGCAACTGATTATGAAGGCTGGATGTGACTTTATTAATTGTGTTGTTTTCTCTGAAGTAGTTATAGAAATGTGTTGTTCCCTAAGAAATGCATTTGGAGACGCGTAAGGAATTTCCTGAGTGAATTTTTGTCAGTGACTGCTACTCCTTCAGATTTAAGAAATGCCAGGAGTAGATGGATGCTGAGAGATAAGGAAGGATTAAATGATGCTTTCAGACATGCTTTTAGAGATGATAATTTTAAACTTCAGGGGCTTTAAATTAGTTTAGGCATTTTCATGTCATGTTATATCAACTGTTTTTCCCAAACGAGTTTGAGAATAATTATTCTTATAGTTGTGAGCATAGTGAGATATTAGGGAGTGACAGTGTCCAACAGAGCTAAGTAAGTGGATGTTTGCATTCCATCATTTTGTGTTGTAGTGATTTTTTTATTGTGCAAATAATATAAATAATGACTATAAGAGGAGCTAAAAAAATATCCACCCACTTACAGTTTGCAGATTGCTGGGGAAAAGAAACAGTTGGGAGGAATATTAATCACTTTAGGCAAGAAAATGTTTATTTTTAACTATTTCTATAAAAGATTTGTTAGACACACATCAATTGATGTCATTAATTGTCCGCTTTCCTGTGCATTCTCTGTAGTAAAGGCTGATTTTGCTTGCAGTTCTGTCCTTAAGGGTAGAACGTTAATAGTGAATCAAAAGCTGACTCCTAAATGTAAAATCTGACACATGAAGAAAAAAGAGTGAATTTAACATGATACCTGGTGAGCGTGCACACATACAACACACCGCTTTCCAGTGGGAGGTAGCGCGCAGCCCTATGCTTTCTCCCACTGCTGGCACAAAGGTGCTCACAGCTCCCTGTTGCCCTGTCCCCATCCTGAGCTCATGCCCTCCTGCTGCCACTAGCATGCACAGCTGACTGCATGGGCAGAACCCCTGGGCACCATTTGGTTTGATGTAGCTGTGGCTGTGCAGCCTTCCCTGTGTGTAAGCAATTTTAAGGGGTAAAAATCTCAAGTCTTAGGGCCAGACCCCATTTTTACTGAAGTCTGAGACAAACTTTGGTGATCCTAAGGGAACAAGGCTAGTTCTTCAGGCAGAAATTCTATATCTGCCATACATTTTCTGATTTTGTCTGATTTCTCTGTAATTAAATTATTGCAGCAGCTGTTGTGTTTTATTTTGTACCTGGGAAAAATTTCTGTCTTCAATGAAATCACATCCAGAGCCATATTCTGAATGCTGAAAGTACAACAGTAGTGCACAAACAGCACATCCATGTCACAGACATTGATCAGAATATATGTGGATGTTAATTCTGGATATAAGGGCTGTGGATTTTCTTCAAGTTAGTACTAGCCCATGGGTTTCACTGTGACATTTGAGGCAATAAGGTGCTTTCAGTGACACACTTTGCTGCTTTGAAACTCTGAAAAGATATGAAGCATGAAAGATTTGGAATGTCCAGAAAATTACATAGAATTTCTGTCAGATTTTAGCACAGATATTGAACTTTATGCCTTTGAGATCTTTTAAAGACTACTTCCCTTGTTTCAGCCTCTTTCAAATTATGGAAATAAATTTAAAGCCTTTCCTCTCTGTGCACACAGTTTTCTTTTCTATGGTTGTTCTGATGTTTTTTGAGCTACTTACCAGACACTGTTTCAACTCATTAAAAATATTAAGGATGCTGTTTTGAAATACTCAGAATCACGGTTAATCATAAAACAGTTCATGTGAAAATTGTATAAACCATTCTTTTCCTTACAATTACACCTTTATTTTACATTATAAGTATGCTTTCAGTTTTGCTCGAGAACCTTAGGTTTTTCTGTGTTCTCCCAATTAAAAGCTATCTGTCAAGGCAGGACAGATTGATTCCTGTGTATATTCAAATTTATGTGAATTCATTTACTTACAGCATATGACAGACACATTCTAATTCTGTTATTTTGTATGTTTTTAAAGGGCATTGAATGTGTAGACATTTGTGGCACTTTACAAATGGCACTTCCTGGCACTTTAGAGATGTAGGATGATAGTTTGTGGGGCTTCTTTCCCAACTGAAATATAATATTTGAAAATTACAGCAGCTTAGTAAAGACCTCAGAAAGATACCTGGCAGCTTTGTATTAGTTATACTAACGTGACTTTTCAGGTGTAACTACATGCATTTTTTAGATGTGAATACATTCAGGATCAATCCTACAACCCCATGAGTTCCACTGAAAGAAAAGAGAGTGCTTAAGTGAATGTAGACTGAGCTAAGTATGAGTTTCCAAGGTCAGGTCCCTTACTGCCTTATAACTAGAAAATGCTGTCGCTTCTAGTATGAGTTTAGTGCCTTTTATTAGGAAATTCTACTTTTAAATTGCACTTGCAAGTAACTGACCCACTAGAGTGAGAAGTGGAGATCTGGAATTTATAGAGTCTGCTTGTCCAAATTCTTGTATGGCTGCAGCAGTATACCAGTAACATGGATGAATGGACAGGCTCTCTGGTTTGCATTAGGTTTTTATTGCTCTTGCTTTTGTTTTCTGTAATGACTGTTTCATTAACTAGCATATTGCAGCCTTTGGATACAGTCATGTTCTCCCCAGGACGTGGCACGTGACAAGGCGAGTGTATTACCCTGGAGTAATATGCTCTATATACAATAGTAATAGATGGAGTAGAAATGCCTAGATTAGAAAGAGATGAATACCAGGGGATTGTAGAGGTGTAATAGAGTTCTGCCAGAAGAAAAATCTATGTCCTTGATTTTTAACCTGGAAGATGGGGATAAGGTGACAGCACAACAGATTTCAGGTTAGGCCTGGACTTGCAATGGAACATAGTTCTCCCAGCTTGGATGCTGATAGAAGAGGGGAGATGGAAGTTGATACACCAAAACCGTTCAGTGTCTTCCTGATTGAATATTACGACACAGAGTAAATCTGAACATTATGAGAGTCAAGCTCAGGGATAATTAGCTGTTTTCCTTTTCATAGACTGTAGCTCAGACTGCTCTGCAGACTCTGACCGCTGGCATTGCCTGACTATTTATTAAAAGCAGTAAACACGTTAATGTTGGCCAGTTGTTTTCAGTTTTAATGATGTTTTGAAGATAATTAATTTGATTAAATATGCAGGCAAGGTAAAGTTTCTGTCTCTGCAGAAAAAAAAAACAATGCCATATGTTGCTAAATCTTTTTATGGGCTTGTAAGCACATATAAATGATAAATTCATCTGTGATTACCCTGGATATCTTTCTTTACACAGTGCCCTTTAGGGAGGCTCCTACCTACTCAAACAGAAGGCGGAGACCCCCGAGCACCTTAGCAGCACCACGTATCTTGCTTCGTTCCAACAGCGACAACAACCTGAACATCAACAATATCCCTGAGTGGTCAGCCTCCTCTTCTGCGTCTTCCCACCGCAGCCTTTCACCTCATCTACTTCAACAGATGCAGAATAATCCTAATGGAACTGTAAAAACTGTAGGGAGCTACACACCATCCTCCCGGAGCCGGTCACCGTCCCTAAACAGGTTGGGAGAGGATGGCAAACGGCAGCAGCACAGGCACATCAGGTGAATTTTGAACATTGACAACGTATGAGATATTCCTAATGTCATCATGCTACACTGCTATGTTCTTATATGGAATTTATCTGACCATTTTGTAGACGATATAATGTATAGGTAACAAAATCTCAACACAGTGGAACATGTTCAAATGTGAAAGTTCTAATCCCTTCCACTCTGGTAGTCAATGCTAGCTGCCTCCCTACGGAACTTGAACAGTAAGGCACACTACAAAATCTAGCAATGCCCATCAGCTCCACAAGTTCTCAAGATCTTCTAATAGTTAAAAAAATAATTGCATTCAGCAGCCATAAAAGATATTTCTGTGATTCTTGGTCCCTGTACACAACTATTGGTCATGCTTGAAACCTGTGCTTGGAGCTGCTCTGAATGATGGAGCAGAGACTGCTTAAGTTTTCTCTTCTACAGATGAGTGCTGAACCAAACAGGAAATCAGAGGGAATAAGTGTGGGCAATAAGTGGGGCTGTACAGGAGGCTGACTGAGAGCAGAGGGAGTTTCTTGAGATGTTGGTGATAGGTGTCAAGGGCTCCTGTTATGATTATCCTTGCTGCAGGGTTTCACATTCCCTTAGACTTTGCTGCTTTCTCTCCTCTCGAATTATAAATGTGATTTAGCAGGCACTCTCTGCAAATAACCTGCAGCTATATCCCACTGGAGAGCAAATCCTTACTAATTAGAGTGATGTAGATATTGCAAGTAACATAATAAAGCAGCTGATTGTGTCTAGGTTTTGATCACAAATGAGGACTTTAGATTTATGAAACCACTGTCCTGTGAACAGGTAAATTAGCTACAGCTTCCCTTGCATAGGACACGGGAAATGCATCTGTCAAGTGTGCAAGTGATGGATTTGCACCAGGATGATAAGTCAGAGGGGTTAAACACGGGTTACAAAAATGAAGAATGTGGGATCGGGTACTGATGGAGATGTTCCGTGCTTAAATATTTTGACAAAACGCATTTAATTTATCATTTAAAATAGCAGCCTTTGTCTATCCTGTTTCCTAATATCAAAAATAATCCATTCTTCGGTGCAGAAAAGGCAAGCGTATTGTTAAGCAATTTAGGTGTTGGTTTCTCTTTGTTATTTGCAAATATATGAATCTTTATTCAAGTTTTCAAATCACTAAAACAAAATGTGATGTAGTTGAAGTTACTGTGCACATTCTGCACGTTTATATTCTCTCTTTGGCAGTAGGCACCAAAACTGATAATCATTATTTGTGCTGGCAGCAATATTGCTGGGATGTGGTGCACAAAAAAATTATCTGAGAAGTAAGAATCGCTGAAAGAAATTCTTAGGCGAGTAGTTTCATGCAGTAGAGCAAACTATGTTACAATAGTGGCAAAAATTCATTTGGTTATTATTTGGATGACACTTCCTCACATAGAACTGTATCAACTTCAAACCATGTTGTCTGTAAGAAGACTTCACTGAGGTGAGGAGGCGGCTGTGAGATGGCTTTTGCAGAATGAGTGTGCCTGTGTTCCACTGAATGCTGCTGGTGTCACTAACGTAGGATTTACCTTGTGTTCTGTGACTACTTCAGCTGTAATGGATAAAAAGTGTCTTTTCTTCAATATTCCTGGGATAACGTGCTTCCATATTCCTGGAGCACAGACACTTTTTAGGAGGGAGAACAAGTTAAAAAACATTGAACAAGCATTTGAGTGATGTTTGCTTGGTTTGGATTTATTCAGCCACTTTTCCCTTTCTGTGAACCAGCGATTTTGAAAACTAGCGTAAATGATAGAGCAAACAAATTTCCTGCCTGAAACTGCAGGTTGTTTTGTTAATGCATCAGTATGATATCTGCATGCACAGCTGTCCAGATGCAGAGGATCTGTCTGTGCTATGCACCAGCAAGACTTTTCTGGGAGAGATCCAGATCTCCTACAAGTGCTCAAAGAGAACTGAAGGCTCTGTAAAGTGAAGGCAACCAAAACATTTTATAAGTAATCTTTGCCTGCAGGCAGTGCCTTTTGTTGCCACAGGCCTACTTTGCTGCCTTGAATGGCACCTCATGTGTTTCACTGTGTGACCACGGTACTTACTATCAGCTAAACTATCAGCTGAGAATTGTTGCTGTCTCTGCTAATTATTTGCAAACAGTACATCACTGTGAAGCTGCTCCTCCCTTTATATGACAAAGCCCTTATTGACATTGCCACAGATTGAATTTCAGAGCCACAGCAGCAGATGGGACAGGATAATGGAAAAGGTCAGGGTTAGCATCACCAGGACGTTAATGAGGTTTCAGAGAGTGGTTTGCTGCTGGGAAGGAGAGGGCTGGAAAGTGATGCTGGAAGGGGTCCATGTGGTCATTGCAGCCTGTCACTCAGGTGTTTGTTTATATTCTTACCTGGCTGCTGCTCTCCATGCCAATCAGGGGTGGCCTCCTTCCTGGGCAAGAGGAAAACATACTAAATTCCCCATGTTCTCTTCTGACGTCTTCTTGGCATGGGACTTGGTGGGGCAAGAGGAGAAAGGGGAGATATTTTTAAGAAGTCATGACTACAGTGCTGGTGGTAGCCCTTATTTCCATTCAGGAAGCCTGTCTCATGTGAGAAGATGTCTCCAATGCAAAGCTTCAACATGCCATTATACCTTCCTCCTTCAGTAAGAAAGAAAATGAATGAGTCTTCTGTGATAGATGAATAAATTGCTGCTGCCTGGCTGCTACCAGATTGGGCAGAAAATGCAGCTTTATACGTTTGGGAATTGTATGTCAGTCAACAGTTTATCGATCTGGATTGTTTACAGTTATGAGCATTTCTTCACTTATAAGGAAAAAGAAATGGAGCCAAATTGAAAATTGAACGTCATCTTTTCCTGCTTTCCTTTAAACGGTGTGAGCCATTTCTGATGCAAAGTCCTTCACAGACAAGCAACAGGAGTTTACTTTTAAAGACCTAAGGACAGTTCAGCACATCTTCACAGTAATAGAAAAGCGTGATGAGGTTAGAGGGAGACTTCGTTCCAAGTGATGTAGAAATTACTGAGTAGAATGGAAATGTTCATGATAAAAAAAGGAGAAGATGAGGAAACAGTAAGGAACGATCCTCATATTTTGTTTGGTTTATAGCAGTGTGAGATCACTTATTTTTCCTTACAAGAATATGGGGAGTTGAAATGCCAGATCACCAATTATTCATCTTTTTTCTACTCTTTTCCTAAAAATCTTTATTAATACTTTTCTTTCTTACAAATGGTTTGTGTTTCTGGACTTTGTTTAAGGCTTTCATACTTTTCATTTTTTAAAAAATTGAATAGTAGGTTATTGGTAGTTTGTGTTATTTTCTACAAGTTTTCTACCCTCTAATATTTGCCTCTTTCTCATGCTATCTTTTTGACGGTTACTTATTTTGGAGAGATTTGATAATGAGCTGTTTGGTAGTTTTCAATAATTTCTCTCTGTGTATCGTGACTAGACTGTGAGTTTTTTAATGATCTATGACTTGTTAGTACAGGCCACTCTGAAGTCACTGCGAGAGCTATAATGATCTCTTCAAGAACATGCTAGCCGTGCTTAGTGAAGATTCAGATCCAACATTTAGCTTCAGGCCTTGGAGTGATGAAGTAGCTTAATTATTTAGTCCGTAGTAGAGTGATGAATTAACTTTCTGTCTATTCACTTGATAATTCATTTTTCTCAGTTTTTCTGTTAACATTTCAATATTACAAATACATCCATTCCCAACAAACGTTATATACGGAGTTATAAAAAAAGTTAAAAGTTAAAAATCTTTCTGACATTGTGGTGCTTGTGATGTATGGTTGTACAGAAAATGTAAAGTTAATCTGGAACTGTCATTGTGCTAGTTCCATTTGTGGAAAAACTAAAAACTTTAGTATTATTTATTTTATTTTCTAGAACAACATGGTCAGATGCACATTGTATTTCAAACAAAAAGATTTCCAGAATGTAAAGAATACATTTAAAATGAAAATAGAAAATGTGTGTATTTATTTTTTTTTTGCAGGGTTAGATGTCTTACTGGAAGATGATCATGCTACTCACTGCTTAATTTAATACTACAAATGTGATGGTAAATGATTAACTTTTTTCATTTTAAATAACCAGTTAATGATTTTAATTTCAATTTCCAGTGCTGTTTACAATCCTAGTGCCAACAAGGATACTCTGTCTGCCTTGGATTATCAGGGTCCAAAACGCAAGCTTTACAGTGCTGTACCTGGAAGACTTTTTATTGTTGTAAAGCCATATCAACCTCAAGGAGAAGGGGAAATTCACCTGCATAAAGGAGACAGAGTAAAAGGTGAGTAAATAATTTTGGCTAAGCATTGAAATTTTATTTTATATTTTAGGAAAAAATCTGTCTCATATTTAATAGAAGTGCTTTTTCCTTTGTTTCTTTAGAAGGTATTTTGCTCCTGGTACTATTTTGTAACCAATCCATATTCAGCTGCCATTTTAACTTTGATTTTGAAGTATTACTAAAATTCAAAAACATGTGCAGTAATAGCAGCATGTTGCACAGAACATGTAATTGGTTTCTGTAGTCATTCCAAAAAGGCGTTAGCACTTTAAAAGTTTGTAAACTTGTTGGCTATCCAAAAAGCTCAGGAAGGAAACAGCAATAGGGTCAAGTCAGTCTCTGTTCCTTTCCTCATGGAACAATTTACTGGTTGAATAGAAAGAGTTTCCTCCTGAGAGTTAGGATAAGTATGTAGATAGAGTCTGGTGTAAATAATCTAGGGAGCAAATATGGTGATACGCATCTCATTTCTGGTGCACTTCCCAAGCAAGAACATGGTAAAATCAAAAGTAGAAATTCATGTTATTACTTTGAAGACAATAAGTACTTCCAGATAAGACTGAGAGAGTGAGGCATGTGCTATACAAGAAACTTCCTAAGAGAGTTAACTGCAGTTTAATCTGTGGTTTTTGCACATCCAGGTAAAACTGGAACAAAAGATCTTCTACTCAATACATGTAAACGAAATTCCAGTTACTGAAGGCAAATAAAAAGGAATAAATTCAGAATGCTAACTAAAAATGTTAAACAGACGAAGATTTCCCTGCAATTGAAACTCTTTACCCTCCAAAGGAAAATATCCCCTTTTCTGATCCTGTATGTAGTAGCTGGAAGTAATCAGGGAGATATTAAAAAGTATTTTTCTATTTTGGAAATGGTTGACTCTTGAAGCCATTTGTAAGTTCAATAATTTTTTAAACTCAGTCCTTCAGAAGGTGTAGAGCAAATCTCAAGAATGCTGCACTTTAAAGATAAAACACATGTGAGATGTGTTTTAAATGCAAGGATGAATGAGGAAGGTTGAATTTAGGTGAGCTGGTGATTGCTGTAGGGCTGAAAAAATGATTTGACAGTTCTGAGACTCTTCCCTGTCTGATAGGAAGCAGTGATTATGAGTGGAAAAAAATGTTGCACAAGGAAATTAGGGAGAGCCAATAGGATCACTTAATAAAAATCTGTAGAAATTGATAAGTAATGGGAGTTAACTAAACTAGAGTAAATTTAATAAAGGCAAGCAAATTCCTTGGGAATGCCAGATGTCAAGTAAAATTCAAGCCACAAATAGCAGCACTGACTTCAAATTCAAGGAAAATTGACAGAGATTTGCATCTTCTGGGAACCTATTTTGTAAGCTTTCAGTGTATGTGAATAAATGCAAGAGAAGTAATGCATAATATCAGTTAACAAAAGCCTTGAATTTTCAAAAGAATGGGTACAACCTAGAGAAAGGTGAAGTTACATTATGAGTAACTGAATGCAAAACAAAGCAAATTGAATATAAATGCAATTTTCATACTTTTTACATAACAATACTGAAAATGTGAAGGCCTGGGGTCTTGCGTGGAATTTGTGCTCACTGAAAAGATGCAGGAATAAGACAGTAGAAAAAGCTACATGTTAGTGAATTGAAAGAAAATGATAACAAAAAACTGAAAGTTATGCACATTCCAGAAGTTTTTGCTTGAGCATAATCTCAGAAAGTTTATAATCACCAGGGAGAATTTCTGGTTCCTACAAAAGGTGAAATTTGAGGAGCCATGAGTGGTACTAAATAACTTTCTGCATTAGATGTGTTCATGAGGTCCCTAGTAGCTGCCAACAGATAAAGAATGAATACGGCTGAGCAACATCTATCTTTTGAGAAGTGTTATATCCCTGCATGATTTTGTTCAACTGGGTTGCTGGATTTAAAGAGTAATACTTTTCTTTATGTAGAGGATTTAAGAAAAGATAGACCATAGATTCTATACACCAGAATAAAGCATCTGAGACTCCAGGTAGTTCTGGAGTAAGATAAAGCAGAAAATGCTTTTCCTGACAGAAGTGGAAACAGTATGACACATTCCTTGGGATGCTGAAGTCTGTTGAATGTTCATTACCAGGCTACTTGTTTACAGTAGAATTTGTGTTGATTGTATGCAAAAATATCCAACAAACAAGGGATTTAAATTTCAACAAAGAGTTTGAGTTTAATAGTTAAATGAATTAGTTTGGGAGCTACTGTGACAGTAACTGGAAAACAATGCAGAGGGAAATTAGTTTACTTTTCAGATCTTCTTATAATAGGATGATCAGAACATAACACAATGATTTTGTGGGGGCACTAACCAAAGCATGTAAAACTACTGAAACAGAAATTGAGGATAATTCATGTTTATCGAAGCTGAATATAAATTATTTATTACCCTTATAAAAAGCAAGGCTTACCTATCCAACATCGAATCATCTCTACAGGGATTCTTCAGTTTCAAATATATGATCTGTATATTGAAGTAAAATGTAGCAGAGATCTTGGATTGGTAGCAGAGACCTTGTTTTACAGCATTTTATAGAACTTCAATGCAGTGAAGTCTAGTGAGATGTTTATACATGTCGATCCTTTTAGGAAAGCTTGGAAAAAGAAAAGAATGTACATAGGAAAAAGAAAACAACAGTAGTTCTGCTACTTAAGATGGAGTCTTGCTGAGTGTAATTTAAGTCTATTTGCACAGGAAAGCTAGAGCCATATCATAGACTTCAATTACTCATCAAAGAAAAAAGTTTCAGAAGCATATCAAACCCTATTTCTTGTTATCATGTCAGTGGTTCCTCAAATGTCACAAAAAATATGTCAGAATGTACACAACAAGGTTACACAGAAGATGAAGAGTCCAACTGAAATGACATTAATGCTTTAAAAAGGTCTCACAGAATGGTACTTATGTATGGAGGAAGAATTCAAATTTACCAAACTTTGACAAAAATCTAGGGTCAGTTAAACAATATATGCCTCTATTCAAGTGAAAATGTAATTATTTGAATCAGAGCAAATAAATAAATAAATAAAAATTGTTCCAACAGGAAGGATTGATGGACTTCCTCTCCATCACCTGAAAGCACAGACATTAAAACTCACATCTCTCAGTATTGTGTGCTGGCTATCAAGTCCTCCTTTGTGAGCAGAAGATCCACTAAGTACCTGGTAGATCTTGTGTCATTCTATCCCTGAAACTTGCTTAGCAAGTCCACGATCCAGTCAGCACTGAAATTTTGCACAGGTTATGTAACAGCCTATTAATTCAATATCATTTTATTTTGTCTGGGGATACACATGCCTGTTAGGAGGCTTAGAGACTCGCTGTGTGTAAAAACATTCTTGCCTTGCATTTAAAAAATAAAAAGCTTTCTCTTGACCCCACCTCATGTGCCAACTTGAGAGCTGCACTGTACCCTGATGCTTAGGTGGTTCTTGGGTTACAGACTAGTACAGAAATTCCTTATGGGGTTCCAGGCTCTGTTCAGTTTGACTGTTCTCATCAGAGTATCCTGTAAGATTGATCACTATATAGATGTTACACAGCAATAACACAGAACAACATGTTAGAGAAAGGGATAAATTGGGAAAAGTTTTTATGTGTTTTATTTTATAACTTGGTACAGTAAGACAGGACATGGTGGTGAGTGAATCCCTAAACTCTTGATAAGAAGTGCTTTTATCAGGTGAAGATTAGGCAGAGTTCTTATCTTTCTAAAACCTTTGAAAGTGCATGAGTGACAACAGATCACAGTAGATGGCACAAAGAAACTATTCAGAAAAAGATATGAATGAGCAAGGTCCGAAGAAAATGTAAACTAAACAAAATGGTCTTGTATTAATAGAATATTACATAGCCTCTACAAAAATATCAGCTTTATTTTTAGTTGTTAGTCATACTCACTGACATCATTTGTGTGTCTGCCACTCATGAGAGAAGGGCCATGGCTGATATAAAAATAAATGTTGATATATTTATACAGGTTTCATTCAAACATAAATGAAGAGCTAGCTTCATTCCCCATTGAAATATTTTTATCATATTTTGTTTCTTTTGCATTTTGCTATGGGCCTACAATTCCACTGCAATAAAACTAGTTCATTCTAAACAGACACACACAAACACACAATGTAGAGTATATTCAAAACGCACTTCAATAATCTTTTGCATTGATATACTTAATTCTTGAACTGTAAGTCAAGTGGCATCTTTTATAACAAAACTCAGGTATGGATAAGGCAATGCTTCTAAGCAGTTTGTGTGTGAAGAATGGATACTTACGTGTGTCATGAAGGCAAAGAACTACAGAAGAATGCATGCATCCTGAGAGGGTTACCTGTGATTCACGTCTGTAGTAGCATACCTTGTTGTGAAAGTAGTAGATGCTACCTTTGGTCCCAACTCAGAGCAGACAATCCCTTAAAAACAAAACAATATCCCTTAGAAACAAAACAATAAAATTTTGGGTTTTTTTGTTCAGAAACAGTGTTATATTACAGCATATCTGAAATGGACATGAATTACCACTTACTGACTGAAAAAAAAATAAGCATTGCCTAATTCAGATACTTTGAAAACCTCTGAAGCCTCATCTTGCTCACAGTTTTGCTCTTTCTTTCTATTATTGTGTGCTTTTATTACAGTTTGTCCATTTGCCACACGATTTGTATGTTTCTAATTTTTGGGTCCCAGAGTATTGTCTACCTTATGGGTGGCCTCCAACTCTGAATTTCTGCTTCTCTCTTTTATTTTTATTGCCTCTCATGGTATCACCACCCCTTCAGTTTCACCTGGAAGGCAAATACATGGGCTAGTTCTGAAAAACGCTTGGTTTCTCTGTTTCTGTGATTAAATATATTTCCTAGTGTTTGTCATTTGGAAATATGGGAAGTTCTTCTGGTATCTCAAATGTGTTCCAACATAGAGTTTTTTGGGAATCTTATCAGATGCCTCCTGTGTAGGTGCCGTCTGTACATCTGAGAGGAG